TCTCCTGGATAGTCGCACTGCTGCTTCGGGTTGGTCAGCCCAGGAGCAGGGACGTAGACACTCTCTCACACACAGGCTGGCACAGCCACAACCCGCCAGCCGGTGTGACAGGAGCCCTGCTACCCGCAGCAAAAAAACCTGCCCTAGGTACGGAGCATGCGCCAAAGCCTTCCCCAGCCCCGGAGGAGTTTCCAGGGGAGGAGTCCGGGGCTCCGAGGGGCTCGGGGGCGGCAACTGGGGGTGGGAATCCCTTCAGCCTGGAGCGAAGAAAGATTTGGCAGAAAGGCTAAGGTGCAGCGAGAAACAGCCCCGAGGAGGGCGTCTCTGGTGCTGATCTGACACCTCTACATGGCAGCTTTCTCAGTTTGAGAGTGGACAGAACCTGGGCGGCCTTCTTTACAGAAATAACGTCTCAAACCGCTGAAGGAACCACCTAAACTAGACTTAACACGGATTCGCTGGCTCCTCCTTGGGCAGGGGAAATTGCTCCCCAAGACATCCTTAACTGGTGCTCAAAATTTATTTCGGTCCTTTCTCAACTATGAACTTACCTATGCCCAACTCCACTCTGTTTATTCAACCAGCATCCATTAGATGCCTTTTGTATATGAGACTCTGTGTTCAATGCACATTTCATTTCTTCCAGCTCCGGACTGTCCAGTACACAACCATGCAGAACATACTGGTTTAGTGATCACCTTCTAAATTCATTCTACTAATGTGCACTGGGTTTCTTAATGTTCAAGGCTGACTCCTTTGCACCTACTTTTACATATATTTGGTTTTTTTTTTTTGAGAGAGAGAGAGAGAGAGAATTTTTTTAATATTTATTTTTTAGTTTTACTGGTGGACACAACATCTTTGTATGTGGTGCTGAGGATCGAACCCGGGCTGCACGCATGTCAGGCGAGCTCGCTACCGCTTGAGCCACATCCCCAGGCCCATATATTTCTTTTTTTTTAAAAAAAAAATTTTTTTAGTTTTTGACGGATATTTATTTATTTATTTATTTATTTATTTATTTATTTTTATATGCAGTGTTGAGAATCGAACCCAGTGCCAAACACATGGTGGGCAAGCGATCTACCACTGAGCTATAATCCCAGCCCCCTTGGTTGGCTGTATTTCATAAATTAAGCCCTTCTTTTTCTGCAGATGTTTTTGAAAACTTTATTTATCAAGTATTTAGATTTTGTATTTAATCCCAAATATTTTCTTAAAATCAACCTCTATTTTTTAGATAATGAATGGATTTACCATCAAATTAGAGTAACTGCCCCAGCACTATCCCTAGACCTGCCTGACCTGCTTTCTGAGTGAAGAATGGCAGTGTATTGAAGTTGGAGTCAATGCAGTGTGACTTCCTGGTCCAGGCCAAACTGCTTCTCCTGGCTATCCTGCCAGCACAGTCCTGGGCATTCCACACCTCCATAGTAGCCCACCTGCCCAAGTGGCCTCTTTGTAATCTATGCAGTAAGTACTTCCTGAGACCCTGTTGATCTCCTTATCATGTCCCCTTTGCAGTTATGTTAAAGTTTGCCCATAGGAAATTTACTTTTATTTTTCTTTTTTAAAAATATTATTTTGGGGATTCTTCTCAATAAAGTTTTCTTCCTTTGTTTCCTTTCCTGTTTGTGACTCTATAAACATCCACAAACTGTGCCCTTACTGAGGGAGCCTATATTTGTAAGAAAGGTGTTGGGTTAGATAAATCAGCTTCTCTAAAGTTCATTTGATTCTATTTATTTTGCTCTCACTTAGGTTTAAAATACCATTAATGGCATCACACTACACTTCAAAGCAAGAAATCGTGAGAGAATAAGAACCCAATAGAATCCAGCAACTTTTTAAAAAATTTTTTTAGTTATAGATGGACACAATACCCTTTATTTTATTTTATTTTTATGAGATGCTGAGGATTAAACCCTGTGCATCACACATGCTGGGCATGCACTTTACCACTGAGCTACAACTCCAGCAATTATTTCTTGAATACATCTAGCTGATGGTGTTGCTTATTTATATATGTATATATACCTCCAAATATATATATATATATACATATATATATAAAACCTTTAATCAAGTAATAAAATCATTATACTTTTTCATATAGCCTTATTTGAGAAGGTTCTTATTTTCTATACATTTACTTGATATCACACAGACAAATAGAACCTTTTTAGTCACCTAAATTGTTAACTGGAGCACTAGTGGTAATTTCCATAGTGGAAAAGCTCTTTCCTAGCCATTGTGCCCTTTGTACCTCAGAACAAAATCCTTAAGGAGATTAATGAAGTATAATATCCCATTTCAAAGATGAGGAAACTGAACCAAAGAAAGGTAGGTGAAAGCAAAGTCAGGATTAGAAAATAACTTCCCTGGAGTATATTCAAATCATCACTGAAGAAATCCAGTGAACATCAACAACAGAGCTCATAATTTCCTCTCTCCCCTCTTGGGACTCTTTGAGTCAGGAAGCAGGAAGAGACAACAGAATAATTAAATTATTTTCCCTTTCCCCTGGCTTTATGAGCAAAGCTGAGCAATTCTACATCCTACAGTACTTTGGAACCTAGTCTGTGAGTTTCCAGATAAACAGGGGAAAGATAATAACAATCATGAAATTATTATACTATTATTAAAATAAGTTATTTAGAAGAATTTCAAAAGAAAATATTGTAACAAATATAACAGTTATGTTGCTAATACAACTTGTGTGTCCATAAGAATGTCCTTAACAAACATTATCCCAGAAGTTCTCTTTCTGGTTCCAGTAAAATACCTAATGGAGTGCCACCATTTCTTTTAGGTAATCACATGGAAAACAACACATAGAGTCAAGGCAATTACAAAGATAATTCAGGCATGTACCAGGTATTCGTTTTTAATGACAAGTAACGTTGGTTGGGTAAACATGGTCTGTCCTAAATTTGGTCTTGGTATGACCTAATCAATGCTCTTAAATCATGCAATAAACAGGCTTTCTTATCTACAAGGGCAGACCTCACATTCGGGCAAAAATGAATAGAAACTTTCTAAAATTGAATGTTCTCCAGGTAAAAAGGAAAAACATGTTTGCATTCAGCCTACTATAGTTACTCCACGATGACACCAGCTGGCAATTGTTTTCTGGCTAACAGATTGCAGCTACTATGATTCCTACACAAATTATTAAAATAATAAAAATAATGTTTTCAAAGAGCTTTCTTCGACTTCCTTTGCCAGTCTAACAATGAGCTTAACACTATCTGTGAGGCAATTTGTTCACCTAATTTTATGCCTTAATAAGCTTTACTACAATTATTTTCTTGCCTGATTATTTCTCTGCCTTAACTTTAGTACTCTTCTTCCTTTTTCTTCTCAGATATACTCAAACCTGTTAGCAACATTGCACTCCCCCAGGATTCAAACTTTTGATTAGAACAGTCTCCATTTAATCAAGTTCAATTGGGAGATAAAATTGCATCTCAACTTCTTCGTTTTCCCTTTGGTGCAAGAAACTGCCTTGAGAATGTTGAGGAAACCCTGGAGAGATTAACAATCCAAACAATAACAGAGAATGGTTTTGGATCCCTACATTAGCACACAGAAATATATAGATATGAATGCCTTTCAATGGCGATGAAAACCAAAATAGATTATGTCAGTCTATGGCAGCGTGAATCTATCTTTCAAAAATAGAAAATGCTCTTATACACTGAAATGACTTCTTTCTCATTTTTTGTAAACAACCCCCCAACCCCCTAGGGTAAGCAGTTTGCAAATAACAGCAAAGTGGTAGCTTTTTTTTTTTCCTTAGGAAATTAAATGTAAGACTTTGTATAGTCAGGGCAAACTGCAAAAAGAATTGTGATATATACTAAATGTATTCCAGTTCACTACATGATTGTAACTTTGGGGCAACTGTGACCCTACATTCTGCTTCCAATAGCTTTCTATTTTTATAAACAGCTCATGTTTTGCTTTATTGTATAACCTCTTTATTCACCATAGATGGCAATCTGAGTGAACAGTGGAAACTATGTTAACTGTATGCATAATGTATTAATTCAATATAATGTAAGTAGATGCACTCATTTTTTTCACAGTAGATATGCATTTCTTTCTTTTTTATTTATTTATTTATTAGTATTTATTTATTTATTTTATTTATTTATTTATTTATTAGTATTCGGCAGATACAACATCTTTGTTTGTATGTGGTGCTGAGGATCAAACCCGGGCTGCACGCATGCCAGGCGATCGCGCTACCGCTTGAGCCACATCCCCACTTGCATTTACTTCTTCAACAAGAACTGGTTAAGCATTTATTGTATACTGGCTAT